GGAAAATCCCCCCAAAATTCAAGAGCCCACCGATGTGGGACAAATTTGCCAAACTTCAACAATAACTACTAATTCAAAATGTTAAAGAGAGTTTGACAATTTTAATCAAAGACAAATTGTTTAACTCTCCATATAATGATAGCGTTACATAAAATGGGATAGAAAAATTAAACTACTATTGAGATAGCAGTGAGGGACATCTTATAACTCACCATTGCCATTGTCGTTTGCCCATAAGACAGTGAAGACATACTTAGTCATAGGTACGAGGAATATGGTATATATGATGAGGGACAACACGCCCAGAATGTCATTCTTATCTCCAATTTTTTCAGTAAATGTACTTTGAATAGTATAGAGAGGGGAAGTCCCTAAGTCTCCGTAGATAACTCCTACGGACTGAAATGCTAAACTCAGTATCGTCTTCCTATCATCCTGCAGCCATGCCACAATATCACATGTATAATCATCAATGACCATCGATTATCTATATACTTAGCTAATGACAAGAGGGGTTGCTCTGATGGTAAACAACCTCCACTTCCAACTAAGAGGTTGTGAGTTCGAGTCTTCCCAAGAGCAAGGTGAGAAGTTCTTGGAGGGAAGGATGCCGAGGGTCTATTTGGAAACAGCCTCTCTACCCCAGGGTAGGGGTAAGGTCTGCGTACACACTACCCTCCCCAGACCCCACTAAGTGGGATTATACTGGGTTGTTGTTGTTAGCTAATAGCTATAGTTCAAAACATTGATTTATACATTTGACAATATATATTATCTTTATAATATCAGTACAAATTTACAAAGTTATTACTTACCATATTTTTCAGACTACTGAACAAGAACAACAACAAACAAAGTGTATTCCCATAAATGGGGTCTTGAGACCCCTACCTTATAGAAATAGAGAGGTTGTTTCCGATGGACCCTCGGCTCATTTTTTCAGACTACTAATTCATAGTATTTAATATAGACAGTTACTTATAATCACATTTCTAATGACCTAATTGTATTAATCTTGAATTGACCTAGTCAGTACTATATAAAACTTGAGTATATGCCTTGGTAGTTTAATTTTTGTGCGTGAGTTTCTAATTTTTTTAGAGGTTAAGATGTATGATTCTCTATAATATCCCTGAATTAATAATACAGAAGATAAAGTAAATGACATGTTATAAAGAGTTAAGATGCACTAATCAGAGACAAAACTATATTAAAATGAAGGGGTTCAAGTGAATGCTCTTCATCACAAAATTTTAATGTCTAAATAGTGTAAACAATTTTTTAATATATAAATAAAAATTTTAAATCCCCTTAATAAAAAGAAAACTTATAACACTATAAGATAACATGAATTAGCGACGGACACATTCTATCGCTAAACATTAAAAATCCATTGCTAATCTGTCGTCTCTAATCTTATTTAGTGACGGATCAGTGATGCAAAAATCCTGTTAACTAAGGTTATTTAACAATAGTTACCAATGAATTTTTTAGCTGATTTTTTTCTTTGTAGTGCACTGAAGTGGCAAAGGTGACTCAAAAACTGCTTTAGGTCACAAGTTTGAATTTCTTTTGTGAAATTCTTGTATTTTCTTGAATTCCCTTATTAAAATTCCAAGTTCTGTCACTGCCACCAATTACAAATCCATACCTTAGAGGCATGTCCAGCCAGAGAATTTGAGACTTTTCCAGCTTCCAAGTTGAGGGAGTCCACACGGTATAACTTCGCCCATGAGACTTTGTGGCCTTTTAGCTGCCCGATGTTGCTCTTGTTTTCTGCAACCTCTTCTGTATGAAGATCTCTATCTGAGCTCGCCATTTCGATTCACAAAAGGGCTTCTTTTCTCTTTGTTTTTGCTTTGCCAGTCACCAGTTTTGCTCTTTATAAGCCTTCACAAAACTCAGACTCCAGAATTCCCTTCATCCCTAATACTTTGTACTTGCAGAAATTATAATCTAATCTCTAATCTATGTAATCTGAATCTAATATATATGTAAATCAAAGGTCAGGATTTAATTAGTTTTCCCTCTTTTAATTAACTTGGAATATGTAAAGACATGGAAAAGGAAAAGACTAAAATGTGCAGATCATTGAACTTACTTAGATAAAATAGTACTTAAATACTTTTCCCTCATTACTTTGCTTTTTCTCCTAATTTGATGTCTAGAAAATCTGCACAAATTAAATACATCCTATTTATGGCATTCCTCATTAGGAGTATCATTATTTCTTTTCCTGAATTCTCTCCCCTTTACTCCTTTGTCTACGTTTTCTTCAACTACATTTATCTATTTTCTCATTTTGTTGCTTTTTTTCCCCTTATTTGATTTCTACAAAATCTGCAACAAAATTAATTATATCCTATTTATGTCATTCAGCATTATTATCATTTATTTCTTTTCTTGAATCTCTTTCCTTTCCTGTCTACCATTTTCTTCCACTACACTTATGTATTTTCTCAATTTTTGCTTTTTTTTTTTACTTATTTGATTTGATGTCTAGAATACATCCTGTTTATTGTTTTCTTCTACTACTTTGGACATGAACATGTGCAGCCTAATTAATTTGATATATTAACTTTATATGATGCTGAAAAGATGATTCGTGTGAATTCATCTCCTGATTTAGTTTCCTCCTTCAACGTTTGAACAATCCTTTGATGATTCAGCTTTACAGGGTAATATTCCCTCCAATTTTTTTGTTAGCATATTTTTGGTGGTTAAACTTATATTTATATCGTCAGTACTCTGAACACCATTTCTTTACAAGCAGTGCGAGCACGATAAGTTCTTGGCTTAGGTTCCATTGTTAGACAAAATTTGGAAGAGAAAAAGAGCTCCTGAATTTATTATTCGTGGGAAGGACTGGTTACTCTTAGTCTCTTTATATAGAGTTCTAAGTGTACATGTCTTTTTTATAACACTGATGAAAATTTGCTTCCAGCAGTGTTTAATTACACTGTTAACAATTTGCTATTGATGCTATTGAAGTTATTGAAGGAGTTTTGAGTGACTTAAGTCATTCTTTCTGCTATTGAAAAAGTTATAATAGTAGAAAACTGTTTGATCTCGTCAAATAAATTGTAGTATCAAACAAGTTGGAACTTGGATAGATGGAAGAGGAGTATGTAATACATTTCCGAACAAGTTTGAAACGATACAGTTAAATTACTCAGACTCAAACTGAAAGCTTGCACACATTAAAGGATAAAAAAGTAAAGATATACAAACTGCAGAAAATCATGTAAATCACTCTGTTTGTTATGCGACTATTTGCTACCACACTTTCACTGCACACTTTCACTGTATGATTTTGGAGTAGCTCACAATTATAGTTCATAAGTCATGCCGACCCTTAGCAGCCTAGTCTGAGGAATAGCCATAGCTTTGTCCCCTTGCCTGAAGTTCTTGCGCAAGAAATTATAGCCATAGTTGACAAATGCTTTCTTCAAAAACGAAGCATCTTGTCTAGCCACCACCTCTGCTTCTCCCAGGAGATAGAACACTCCTTGTCCCTTTGCCTTTTTCACAAATTGCATCTCTTCTTCTTCCAAATTTGGGGACACCGTTTGTATTCTACTTGATGAACGATTTGACTGAGCTGCTGGAGTGTTCATTGATCGAATTGAACCAGTTGACGAAACTCTAGAATCCACGTGTCGCTGCAAGTCTTCCTCCATGTGGACCCTGGATGATTTTCCAGCTACTAATTGTCCAGATACTGGTGGTACAGTCTCTCCCTCTGTTATAACTTGTTGATCTGCTGCAAGAATATAATGTTCATGTCTAATGAACTCATTCAATTGTTCCACCAATTGGTTTTCAAAGTCCTCTGTATCCCCAAGTTGATCTTTGTACCCCAATCTCACTACACAGCGGAACACATTGTATTCCCTAGGCTCAACGTGTCGGAACAAGAAACGTTCCTGTACTGCTACTTTACTGATGGGAATGGATTTTATCGACACCAGGACTATGACTGAATGGACTGACGGAATATTGGAGACAAAATGAGGAAATATAGGTGGAATCCCCTGCACTAGTTCAGAGTAGAGTAATCCTATTCCAGGTACTCTTTTGATGTCAGGATTATTAGCCAAGTCCCTGACGTACTCACTTGACACCTTGTTATTGAGCTCGAATTGGTATCGAAGTTTTTGAGCATAGTGCCAAGTTCCCATAATGATCACGAGCACGGCTGAAAAGGCTAAGGGTAGATAACCACCTTGCGTGAATTTTGTCAGCTGGGCGGAAAAATATGTAGATTCTATGGAAAAGAACACCACGTAGAATAGGGTAATCCACCATATGCTGATTTTCCATATAACAAGCATTACTAGTGTCACCATATTTGTGGTTATAATCTCAGCAACAACCACAGCAATACCATAAGCATGCCCCAATTTCTCTGTGGTTTTGAAGCTTAGAGTAACTAGAACACATGCAATCATGAGGAAGTAGTTTAACTCTGGGATGTAAACTTGACCCTCATATTTGGCAGATGTGTGAATTACCTTCACCCTTGGGAAACAGCCTAGACCTTGGGCCTGAGCCACAATAGAAAAGGTTCCAGATATCATTGCTTGACTTGCAATAATGGCTGCAGCAACAGCCACTACAAATGTTGGCCAGTACAATGGATCTGTAAGTAACATTAACAAACCAAATTATGAATGGTGTTACATTATCCGTGGCTTGCTCTATCGCTTAAGAACATAATCTCTATGAATTTAGGTTTTCTGCACTGATAGTGCATACTACGTTTTTTATACTATCAGTAATGGGTGTCAAATGGGCGGGTTGGGCCGATTTTGGGCGGGTCAAAACGGGTTGAATCGATAATTCGGTGGGACAAATGATCCGCCCGAAAGTTACTTGGGCTAAGATGGGTTGAGTCAAGATGGACTAAAATTTGGGTCATAGCCCAACCCGGCCAACCCGTATCAATCTTTAGTAATATATGTTATTTTCTTATGAATTGTATAATTACTATATAAGAGTTTTTTTCTTTTTTTATGGTCATATATAACTTATCAAACAAAATAAATAAATTATTTGTAAGATATTTTGGCAAAGTTACTCGTGGATCAATTTGGATTAAAAATCAGCTCAACTCTAAATGGGTTGAGATGAGTCGAGTCAAGATGTGCTGGGTTCAACAAATGGGCGGGTCATTTGGGCTTGATCCAAATTTGATAGCCCTACTATCAGGTTAAATTGACTTGCAATAACAAGTATTGTCAATCCCTTTGTTTCAATTTATGTGACATAATTTGACTGGATATAGAGTTTAAGAAAGAAAAGAAGGCTTCTGAAACTTGTGATCTTAATTAAACATACTATAAATTGTGTGGGTATGAAAGCCTTTCATTAATGGTAGAATAAAAAAGTCAAAGTTAAATGTTTCCAAATATAGAATTGTATCATTCTATTTAAAGAAATAGTGTCACATATATTGGAATAGAGGAAGGAAATGCTTTCCAATTTGGAAAAAGAGTAAATAACTTGTGATATAAAGTGTTATATATACATAGTTAGTATTGGGATGGCATATAATCGTATACTGTTCCTCTGTTCTCAAGATTTCCTTGTCGTTGACTATATTAAAGTTGAAAGGGTTAATAAATTTCTACTTGCCTGGAATGGAGGCATAGAAAGTATTCTCAACATCTTCAGGGAATTTTGAGAGGTAAGCAGCTTGTCCACTGTAAGCTGAGAGCAACGCTGGAAATACGAGGCAACTGAAGCTTATCTGCATTACATATATAGACATGGTGAGTTCACTTCGATTGACAACAAAATATAAAAAAGAAAAACAAAATAAAGATCAATTAAATTTCTTCAGTTATGTAGGTTTCACTTGTCCAACTTTGGGTTACTGTCCGTATACAAATCTTATTTGTCCATGTTTTCCATTAGGTAATTTCTTAATCAACTAGTGTTACATAGACTGTTTTTAAGTACACGAGAGTAATCATAGTACTTTTGTAGACATTATTTTAGAATACAAAGTACAGCCTTAAAACTCGACAGGTATCAAAATTTGTGTACAAGTTGAATTATGACAAAAGATTGTTCAAATACTAAGTATGTTACTGTCAGGAAGCTAGAGTTGGAAAGGAAAAAAAAAAAAAAAAGAAATTGAAGAAGACTTACTTGAATAGAACGCACACTGAAGTGACCCAAATCAGCAAACATAGCTTCAGATCCTGCGGAGTTTCAAAAAAGTCATTAAACAGATGAAAATAAGTGCAGACAGATTTGCAATCTCAGATATGACAAGTACATTCAATAATTGGCTAAATTAAATTGTACTGATAGTGTAAATAGAATTGTAACCTGTAATGCAGAGGAAAACTCCACCAAGAGACATCCATCCTTTTGTACCGTTTCTTTTGAAGTAGTCAATAATGTATTTGGGATTAAAGGCACGTAAGACGCTCACGTCATACTTGAACAAATTGTAGAGACCAATGCCACTTATAAACAAAAACCAAATGCATATGGCTGGAGCAAATGTGTATCCCACCTTGTCTGTACCCAAACGTTGCGCACAGAAAAGGGCTACCAGTATTGCGATGGAAATACCCACAACAGCCTCTGCAAAAACTCTTTATCCATTAGTTGTTCAATCATCAATCAAAACCAAAAAAAGGGGAGGAACGAAGAGAGAACGTTACTCCTTTGGTTTCAGTTTGTGTGGTGGAGTTTGACTAGATACGAAGTTTAAAAAAGATTTGAAACATATGATTTTAAATATGTCATGAGATTCCTTATGTTATAATGTCATAAAGGATAAAGTGAGTTCAAATTTAGCTAGCGTTTGGCCATAGATTTCCAAATTTGTTTGAAAAATTTGATTTTGGTGAAGTTTGGTTTGAAGATAAAAATGTGTTTAGACATACGTTTTCAAAACATATTTTCCAACTTTATTTTAGAAAAACATGTATATAATTCTCAAGTTTTGGGATTTTGGCCTAAAATCAGCAATTGGGTGATTTTGGGATTTGGAGTTTGGGATTTTGCCAAAATATGGGTAAAATTTATGGCCAAACATGAGTTGCCATAAATCCCAAATTTATTTTGGCAAAACTCATGGCCAACGGGTCTTTAAATTATTTTCAAATATATAATGATAGTCTGATATGTGTTATTTTGTAAATGAATTAATAAGAAAATAATATCACATTAAATGAAACGAAGGGAATAATTCTTTAGCATACTATTACATAAATTTTTTTTCTATATTTGTGATGGACAATTCCATTCTGTCACAAATCCATCCGAAAATCCAGTTTGCAAAAAATATGTAGTAGTAAGAGATAGGCGGTCGCCACAAAAAAAACGGGCGTTGCAAAATGTTGTACTAACAGATTACTAATTACCTTGGCCGAGGGGCTTTATTCCACTTACGGCAGAGAGAACTGCATGAGAAAGCACCACATTAAACAAAACTGTCGATCATATTGCTTGAAATGATAATAAATCTATGAGTATATATGATGAAGCATATGTTCAATTAATAAGTATTTAATTAGAGACCTGAGATGCAAGGAGTGAGAACTCCATCACCAATGACCATAGAAGTTCCGAGGATGGCGACGAAGACGAGAAATACTTTTGCAAATTTACTCTTTTCTAAATTATGTCTGATCTTCTGAGCTCGTCTAAATTGATTAGATGGTAGCTCTAGATTGTAATGTGAAAGCTCTCTGTCCTCTGGCTCTTGGTTTGGGATGAGACTCACTTTTGCATATCGACATACTAAAGAATACAACGCAAATGCTCCACCTGCATGCAAAAGAAGGAAATAAAACATGTAAAGGGGAGATACTTAAAAAAGAAATTAATTAATCCCTCCATTTTATTTTTTATGATGATCTTGACTGTGGACACGAAGTTTAGGCAGAAAGGAAAACATTTGGTACATCCATGGTAGGAGCTAGCTTACTAACTACAGTCCGGCATAATCCAGTAGATTTTGGCCAGAAGTTGTATCTATGTTAAAAGATTCACTTAATATTTATTAATAATTTATCCAGAAGTAAGCTATATTTTCTAGAATTCAAAACCCATAAACTAAAAATCTTGGTTCGGCCTTTGGGTCTGGGTACATCCCAAAGTACCTTTGAAGGTTGTCGTATTAAACATGTCATATCTTTATAATTATAAGAGCATGTCATAAGGGTAAAACAAAGATTTTAAAAACAAAATATTTAAAATATAAATTTATATCGTTCTTTTTAATTTGTAACATACTAAAAAGAAAACTGTATCGCATAAAAATGAATGAGAAATAATCAATTGCAGAGAGGGACATACTGTAACTTACCATCGCCATTGTCGTTGGCCCATAAGACGATGAAGACATACTTAGTCATAGGTACGAGGATTATGGTATATATGATGAGGGACAATACCCCGAGAATGTCATCCTTGTGTCCAATTTTATCAGTAAAAGTACTTGCATAAACGTAGAGAGGTGAAGTCCCTATGTCTCCGTAGATAACTCCTACTGACTGAAATGCTAGACTCAATATCGTCCTCCAGTCAGCCTGCAGTTGCAAATGTTCTTCGTAATCATGTTAAAATAAGTGGAGTATCTACTGTCAGTAATTGCGGATTCATGATTTAAACTTGATGGATTCGACCTTCAAAATTCTTAGTACCAATAACTTTAGTGGACGTTCAGAATATAATATTTATTAAACTTTTAGTGATTTCAACATATGTCCATGTTCCGATGAGATACTGGTTCAGTTGAACAGATAGATAATAAGTTGCATCTACCACTGACTATCAATGTAAATTACAAGGTTATTTATCAGTTGTACTTTTCAATGATATGAAGGGGAGTCTTGGAGCAACGGTAATGTTGTCTCCATGTGACATATAGGTCAGGGGTTCGAGACGTGAAAACATCTAGTAATGCTTGCATTAGGGTAGAGTATCTATATCACCGCTTGGGGTGCGACCCTTCCCCAAATCCTGCATGAATGTGGGATACTTTGTGCACTGGGCTATCCTTTTACTTTTTGGTGATCTAATTTTGTCGATGTTGTTTTTTACAATGTCAGTACATAAATGTGAAATATATACCTTAGAGCCGTGTCGTGCAGCAGAGTTTGAAACTTTTCCAGCTTCCAAATTGAGGGAATCAACACGATGTAACTTTGCCCATGAGAATTTGCGATCTTTGAGCTGTTTATCGCTCTTGTTTTCTGCAGCCTCTTCTGTGTGACGTTCACTATCTGAGCTCGCCATTTCTATTCTCTCAACGGCTTCTCTTTTTCTTTCATTCGCCACTGGCCACTTAGCTCTTTATATGGGCACTCAAAGTTGAATACCACCCCAGATTAATTCCCCTTTTCCCTAATATTTTGTACTTGCAGCAATTATTATACTCCCTCCGTTTCAATTTAAATGAGGTAGTTTGAAGAAGATTTTGAAACTTGTGGTCTTAAAAGCTTTGTAGGGCCATGACATTTGCGTGGTTATAAAAGCTTCTCATTAAGGCGTAAAATGGGTAAAATGAAGAGTTTAAAGTTGAATTATTTTCAAATTTAGAAATGTATCATTTATTTTGATGTAGACTAAAAAGGAAAGTACCTAATCTAATTTAAAACGGAGGGAGTAACCTTTATTATAGCTCATACTCCCACGGTGTTTAACTGAACACGAAATTTAAGAAAAAAAAATATTTTTGAAATTTGTTGGTCTAAAACCAGTGATAGTTATTTATGTGACTATAAATCATCTCACTAAGAGTAAAACGAGAAACTTAAAGTTAAGTTATGACATTCTTTTTTAGATAAAGTAAAACCAAGTATATGTAAGGAAGTGTTGTTTTTTAATTATATACTCCCTCATAATTGAGTAATTATATACTTAGGTTGTTATCACCATCAGAGCCTTTGTGAAGGCATCTCGAATAATTCCTATATATTTATATGAATGCCGTATATACACCCATGTGTACTAGGTTGTACTAGGTTATACTAGGTTTTAGCCTATAGACATGTCAACCCTCCCCCGACCCCCATCCACTCATTTCCAGAGGCATATGGTGGGCTGGGTTCAAACGAACTCTCTATTTTTCACACGATAGAGATATATAAGCCACGATAATTAATAATTTAAATATTTAAAAGACATATAAAAAATTACAATAAAAAAATTCGTTTCATTCTTAAAATTCGAGTATAACCACATAAATTGGAACAAAAATATATATTTTAAAATATATAATTTTAGTTTAAAGTACTTCAGTACAATTTAATTATTGTGGCTTATAATATTTTTTACGTAGTTTTAAATATTTAAATTTTATTGTAAAAAACTTAAAAATTTATTTCCCACTTCATTGGTCAAAATTAAAAAGACACATAGATTGGCACAAAGAAAATATTGAAATTTGAAATTATTATTTTTATCATACAATAAGTTCACTGTTAAAAAATAAAAATCTTGAATTAAATCTATAAAATTTTAATAATCCATCGTGCTCCCTTCAACCTTTCCTTTCTTTACACGCATCTTTCTTAATCATTTCGTGTAATTTAAAAAAATAATGGAGTAGCATTATTATGTTTTTTTCTATAAGTCTGACCTTTGAATTCTTCAAGAAATTAAGGTTGTCATATCATGGTTGCACTGAAGTCAATCTTTTTTTTCCTGCCTAATAAATATAATTAAGTAAAAAAAGTATATTTTTTTAATTTAAACTTTTAAATAAGATAGTTATAAGTTCATAAAAAGAATCAGGATTACATGTGAAGGAGCATGTTCAGACATAACTAAGTAAATAAAAGTATGTTTGTTTACCTCGAAAATACGTGTAACAATTAAATTTGATTAGTTGCTTTAAATATATGCGATTTAGTTCAATACCAATTAATAATCAAGAAATATGAAGTAAAAATGAAAGATAAAAGTGAATCAAGCTAATGTTACTTAGCAGCAGTGACCTCGAGCTTAATGACCTCGAGGTGGCTTAGGGCAGTAAGAACAATAAGTGGGAAAAACAAAGTAAGAACAATAAAGCTAAAGGACAATTCTGATGAACAGTAGGCAAAAAGTAGAGAGTATATTCTTTGCCCAATAATAAGATGATCTTACAAATGATTAGGGTCCCCTTTATATAATAGGGAAACCCTAAATAAGGAATATTTTTATTTACAGTAAGAAATATTATTGGTACAACTGTCTGACCGCATAGTACGGAATTGTACAACCCTATCCCGGGATTAGCGCCATGACTTTGGGGACATGACAGGAATCTAGCTCATTCTGGTACAAATTCATAACGGTACTATTTTAGGGTCGAGCGTGCTTGGCCTTGATATTCCTCGAACTCCTATCTCAGAGCATTGCGCTCTGGCTTCGAGCTCGAGTATGATCCATTGGTCTCAAACTCGACCTCGCCCAGACTCGGGCCTAGAACGGACCGTCGAGCATGTAAATCGGAGTCATGTGATTTTGATCGTATGCAGATAGTCCCCGCGTTTCTTAGAATAAGATGATAAGAAATGACTTGAACCTCGATCCCCCAGAGTCCATAACGATGACGTCACTCTCGTGACGTAGGCGCTCGAAGTGACTGAAACATCCCATCGATTCGCTACCCCAAAACATTAAATGCATACCAATGTTGGTCGGCCACTAGCGTTATTGAACCGTCGCCGCCCATCTATAAATATAAGGTCCTACCTTTGAGAAAGCTTTACTTCAATTTTCAAACATCTCTGAACCTCCTCCATACCTCTCTCTTAATCTGTTTTCTACTACCGTTTTCTTAATACCGAAAACAACCAGACCTCGCCATCTTTTGTAACCCTAAATCATGGCAAAAATTTCTAAAACAGTCCCTCAAAAGGAAAAGGTATCGTCTTCTTCTATTTCCCAATCGGCCGGCAATAAAGCGATGTCCCTCCATGAGATTATTCCGACCACCTGTGTTTTAAAGAAGGATTTCGATGTCGAAAACCCACCTACAGTACCTGGCCGATGTGAACATGCATCGAGGTACATCTGTACAATAAATGAGAAGCATCTCGAGGTTCTGAGGAAGGAGTGTGGTTGGGGGGACGAGGTTACTAAACAGATCCCGGCTCCGAATGAGAGCATCACATGTGGAGGGTTTTTTAAGTGTTTACACTTACCCCTTGTCACACCTCCTTTTTGCCTACACCCCGTAGAAGGGAGTGTAAATGGGAGTTTTTTCCAACTTAAAGTGTCAATCGAAACGGGATTATTTATTTATTAAATTCAGAGTCGCCACTTGGGATAATTTTATGTTGTCCCAAGTCACCGGTTCAAATCCCGAATCGAGGAAAAGATTGACTCTGTATTACAGTCCGCGAACATAGAAATCCGGGTAAGGAATTCTGTTAACCCGGGAGAAGGTGTTAGGCATTCCCGGATTCCGTGGTTCTAGCACGGTCGCTCAACTGTTATAATTGGCTTATTATCTGATTTTAGTACACTTTTAAACCTATGCATATTTTTAACTTTAATACCGCTTTTGGTAATTATTGAAGAAAATTACAACGTTATTTAAAATGTGTCTTGAACCACTTCACATAAATGCACCCACAGTCCGCAATACATTTTATCTAACGTTGTTGAGATTGGTATTTGGGTCCCATAAATGCGTATCCGAGTTTAAGAAAGTAACATTTTAATAGCGCGTCTAAAACAATTACGCACTTTCAACTATGTGAGGGCCATGAAAAATTCACTGAATGGCACACCTCGATTTCTAAGGATTCAAATTTAATCAAGTGAGGGTCATAGCTTCTGGGATTTTATTTGGCATGGCACACATCAATTTATTTCAAAAGAATGTATTCAACTAAAGTAAACCACATATGTTTATAAGTAATAAGTGATATGAACTCATAAATAAGCATATTTTCTACATGGTACTAATCTGGGATGAACTTGCATTAATAGCAACAACTGCCCACCACTTTGCAAACTCCATGGAGTGTGAACTAGCTTAGACCAGACTGTGCAAGCCACTTGAATAATATGAATGTTTTGGCACTATAACAATATTTAACAAGTAGAAGACCTCACAACTATGTTTAAGAGATTATTTAACCTATATTGTGCTTATATAAAGTGACAATGTAAAAGAAATTTAACTTTATTATCGTCTGTATGCCCACGTCAATTGCAATTTGCCAAGTTATACCCAAAAATGGTCACTTGTACAACTTTGTTCCTTGATATACAACAACGCACATATTCAATCAAATGTTGCTAATTCAAATTCTAGTCTCCAGAATAGAGCACAACAATCCACTAGAGAACTAAATTAGTACTTCAGTGCAAAGTATTGACAGAGAATCGATACTTCACTTTACGAATCAGAACAAACAATGAAAACAAAAATTTCATTCAATGCAGAAACGCAGATCCAGTTTATAACAAATATACACAGCCTTTTTATTGCTATTTCAATATGATAACAATCGAATTAGAGGTCTACGGACAGAACGAAAATAGATCAACACATAAAAGTGAACTTGAAGATTCAACAAACTTGAAGAATTTTAATTGAAGATCAAAGGAATTAAGGTTTTTCACCTGATGAAGAAGCAGAACAAGTTATCGACGGAACCTTGAACCGGCAAACTCGACTCAAATGAAACTCCACCGGTTGCAAATTGAAAACTTGTCGATGATGAAATCCAACCGAGTCAACCAAATGAACGTACGAGTAGGAAAAAAAACCTTAGAGGCAGTCAAAGCTACCAGATCTCGTCATTTCCGGCAATGTAACAGTGAAAAGATAGAGAAAATACGAGAAACGAGAATGGCATGATAGCAGTTCGTCGGATTCAATGGAGGGTCATCGGATTTAACCAAACATTCGACCAGATCTGAAACTCGTCGCACATGGAGGAGAGGAGAGGACGGAAGCCATGAAACTTCGTTGATCGTAGACAAGTTGACAACGGCGATGGTTCCCCGCAGAAGAAGAAGTAGCCTAGCTTTTTCTAGGTTCTTTAGAGGAAGAGGAAGCTTCGGTTGTTTTGTGAGGGTGAAGCTTCGTTTATGGCTATTGCGTGGTTAAGGTAGGTCCAACGATGAAGTTTTGGTGGTGAGGGTGCGGCTAGCATGGAGATTAGGTTGCTGAAAATGGAGGTCCAGTAGCTAGGGTGGTCTGGCGGCGGAGATGTTGGTGGTGTTAGAGAGGTTAGGGGTCATTTGGTCATTAAGCTGATGAAGAAGATGGGCTGCTCGATGGATGGGAACTATGTTTTCCGGCGGATTGGCGGCGTGGTTGGCGGGGCTGGTTCGTCGGTTTGGGGTGGTTATGGCAGGCTGAGGGCGGCTGGGGTCTCTAAGGGTGCTATGGTTCAGCTAGGTTTTTGGGTGGTGTCTTCTTGAAGAAGAAAGCTGCCATGGATCCCTCCTCCCTTATATCTAGGGTTATGTTGTAGTAGATGATGAAGAAGATTGGGGTGTTGATGGGGTATTGGGTTAAGTCTTGTTGGGCTATATGTTGTAGTAGATGATGAAGAAGATTGGGGTGTTGATGGGGTATTGGGTTAAGTCTTGTTGGGCTTGAAATTGGGCCAAAAGATCAAGAATGGACATCTCTTACTAAAAATGTGATAAACTAAGCCAAAAACTCACTCTTCCTTCTGAAAATGATATAAAATTTACAAAATAAAAATATAAAACTAATCCTAATCAATTAAAACAAATAATATTATACTATGAAACTATTTTGGTATTTTTCAAGATTATGTAAAAATAAAATAGGTTCAAAGTAACATATCTTCCTAATAATATCTAATGCGTGAATTAAATAGAGAAATATGGAACTATTTTTGTATTTTTCAATTTTGTGATAAAAATAACGTAAAAGAGTCAAACTTAGTTGAAATAACTATATTAAGCCTAAATTAAATATTTTACGCTAAAATGGGTGAAATTTCAGAGAGGGTCAAAAATTATATGTCTACAGCTGCCCCACTTTGACTGGAAATACGAAGTATTTTCAGACAAAGAATGACTAGACAAGTTTTTGACCCGACCCTTATTTGGAGAGACCAAAAGCTAAGGGAAAGGGGAATTTGACCGAGCCCTAGTATCTGAGCTGCCTATATATCCTTGGTTATAAAGGAATCAGGCCACGTGTAGTTCAGAGATGAGTGAGATGATGGAGTATGCCGAGGTGGAGAGCCAATCGAGGTACCGTTACGCCGAGGTCCGGGTCCATGGTTCCGTTATTATATCAAAATCATCATAAAAAAAACTAACTAAGCCTGTCAACTACAAGTTACAAGATTCTTATCTATATCTTCAAACTTGATCTTGTGATTCTTGTTGCCTTATTGACTTGTATTCTCCCGGTGAAATCCCTTTGTTGCCGACTTGAATTGTAATCTGAGATGTTTTTCCTTTCTCCAAGTGGATGCCTGACTGCTGAAACTTGAATGTATTCCCTTGTTCTCCAGGTGGGCGCCTGACTGCTGAAACTTGAATGTATTCCCCTATTCTCCAGGTGGGTGCCTGATTGCTGAACTTGAAAATGTATTCCCTTGTTCTCCAAGTGGGCGCCTGATTGCTGAAACTTAAAAATGTATTCCCTTGTTCTCCAGGTGGGCGCCTGTTTTCTGAAACTTGCATGTATTCCCTTGATCTCCAGGTGGGCGCTTGATTACTGAACTTGAAAATGTATTCCCTTGTTCTCCAGGTGGGCGCCTGATTGCTGAAACTTAAAAATGTATTCCCTTGTTCTTCAGGTGGG